AAAAAAAAAAAAAAACAATAATAGATGCCATGCGCCTTCAGTTCTTGGATTGTAAATTTTAGATTGTATTTACTGATATATTGACTTAATGTGTAAGATTTATGATTTTTATCTCATTTTTAAAGTTGACTGAGTCAATAAATAGTAATAATAGTATAATCGACACAATACCTGTATATACTGTGTCAGTCTTTAATTGAACTCTTTACATTCTTTTAACAACATTTTAACATCTATTCCATATCCATGAGAAAATATAGGAGGAGTTATGATATTTCTGCAGGTGACTGAGAGTTTTCAAAGTGAAACTAAACTGATACAACAAACCTGGAGGGTCTTTTGAAACGAGATGATTTTGGACAGTAAAAGTGAGCACAGCTGATCCCTGACAGGTACGTGATGAAAACAGAGTTTCATTAAACATGTCTGACTGATCTTGCTTTTTAAACATTACACAAAAGCATACCACAAGGCATACAAAGAAATCCGGCACTTCGGATTATGAGAACTCTAAAGAAAGAAGTGATCCCGACAAGTCAGACCTGTTAGGCTGCAAACTCAATTGCACTGATTTGAACGAACAACTTGAGGACTTTAATAAACCAAATATTTTACATTTAAATGTAAAACTTTTGCCCTTTGATGCAAAACAATGCAGAAATATTAAGGCTAAGGAGCAGACGGATGGCTTCAGATTTTGACACTGCAAGTTTCATGCTGGGAAATGAGATATGTGCTGTGACTTTTTCTTTTTTTTTTTTAGAAAGAGAAGAGCAATGGCAGGGTATTTACCAACATCACCAAAACCAGGAAAGACCAGGAGATGGAGTCTGGATGAGCCTCCAAGTCAGGAACTAGTGAATTAGTGAATTAACAAATGCTTACAGCCAGTAATAATAGTTTTTCCCCCCTCTGCTGTATAACTCAATCAAAACTAGATTGTGTTGTTTTACAATAATTGTTACTACATTAACTACATGCACAACATCTTGGAAATCATGTACGAGATGCTTGAACCATCAGTGAGTCGAAAGGCCATCTAACCCATGTTTGTATAGATAAACAATCAAAAAGCACAGAAATGTTCCACAACAAAATATATCAGAACCAAAACCATCAGGGTGCTTAGAATATGATAGAACTTTGATATAAAATGTAGTACTCTAATACTAATCTAACCTTTCTTTCTTAATAACATTACTTGTATATTCAGTATTATAACAAATATATTTTAATTATATAATCCACATTTCAGCTCTGACATCCTCCAGTGGTGCTGTAGACGAGGAGTCTCCAAGTTCTGTGGATCTGGAAGTGTTGACGGATCCAGTCTCCACCGACAAATGCCTGAAAGAAAGTCAGCATTGCAGCTGCTTAGTGTGTAAACGGAAATACAGTAAAAGATCTGACAACACGAGCCAGTTTGTGCAATATTTTGGCCTCAGAAAATCTGAAGTTCTCTGTGATGTCTGTGAAGAAACAAAGATGAAAGCCTTGAAGTCCTGTCTGGTGTGTCAGACCTCTTACTGTGAAACTCACCTGGAGCCTCATCAGAAACTGCATTTAAACAAACACAAACTGATGGACCCTGTGGAGAATATAAAGGACTATATATGCCAGAAACACGAGAGACCTCTGGAGCTGTTCTGTAGAGATGATCAAATGTATTTGTGTGTGTTTTGCACTGATGGAGACCACAAGACTCACAACACTCTTCATCTAGAGGAGGAGAGTAAAGAGAAAAAGGCATGAGTTACTAACAACATTAAAAATACTTTAATAATCTGATTTAAAATATCTAGCAAGTAATTAAATGTGTCTGGGTGTTCCCGTTTGTCTATAGACTCGTATGATGAAGACAAAGAAAGACGTGCAGCAGATGATCCGGGACAGAATCAAGAAGATTCAAGACATCAAACACTCAGCAGAACTCAGAAAAGTGAGAGGATGTTGATTATATGTAATGGGTAATGTTTAGATTTGCCTTAAAAAATAAATCTGATTATTTTGCAGAAAAGCACTGAGCAGGAGAAAGCAGCCAGTGTTGAGCTCTGCACTGCTCTGATGCGCTCCATTGAGAGATGTCAGGCTGAGCTGCTGGAGATGATGGAGGAGAAGCAGAAAGCAGCAGAGAAACAGGATGAAGAGCTCATTCAAGAGCTGCAGCAGGAACTCACTGAGCTCAAGATGAGAAACACTGAGCTGGATCATTTCTTACACACTGAGGATCACCTGCACCTCCTACAGGTCAGTGTCTCTCTGTCTCACATCACAGGACAACACTCACACTCCTCATGCTGAGGGACTTCTCCTCTCTCCTGCTGTAGATTGATCCATCCCTGTGCAGTCCTCCACACACCAGGAACTGGCCTGAGATCAGTATGAACACTGATATGAGTGTGGAGACTCTGAGGAGAGCTCTGACTCAACTGCAGGAAACTCTAGATGAGAAACTCAATGAATCTGGTAGGTCAATAGAAATACAGCACACAAAATTTCTTTTGACAGCAGTCATGCTTTATCTAGAGAAATATTGTGGCTGAAGAAGGTGGCAAATGCTCACCAAGGATGCAACAACAAACCATCAATACAGTTAAACATATTATTGTGAATTATTATAATTTAAAATGACTATTTCTGTTTTTATATATTTAATTTATTCCTGTGACAAACCTGAATTTTCAGCAGCCATTACTCCAGTCTTCAGAGAAACACGATCCTTCATAATTCATTGTATAATATAATATCTCATCATTCTTGCTGGTTTGGTGCTCAAGAAACATTTCTAATCATTATCAATGTTGAAAACAGTTTTACTTCTTTTTTTCTCAGGATTTGATTTTTTTTTTCTTGCTAAATAAAAGTATTAATGACTTGTATGACAACAAAATAGCATCGTGGATGTTGGTTTGTCCACACTTGTTGATGTTTTATTATTATTTACCTCCACAGTGTTGAGGGTGATGCAGCATTATACAGGTAAAATTCAGAGATGACAGCTGAACATATAATCACTTGTACCATCTAGTTTTTGTTAAACATTTAACACATCTAAATCTTTGTACTGTCAAGATTCATATGCTCTGATCTCTCTCTCAGTGGATGTGACTCTGGATCCTGATACAGCTCATCCATATCTCATCCTGTCTGATGATGGGAAACAAGTGAGACATGGAGACATTAAACAGAAGCTCCCAAACAACCCGGAGAGGTTTGATCACTATCCTGGTGTCCTGGGAAAAGAGGGATTCTCCTCGGGGAGATTTTATTTTGAGGTTCAAGTGAAGGGAAAGACTGTCTGGAATTTAGGAGTGGCCAGAGAATCTATTAACAGGAAGGGACTGATCACAATGTGTCCTCAGAATGGATTCTGGACTGTGGCACTGAGGAATGGGAATGAATATTGGGCTTGTGCTGGCCCATCTGTCTCTCTGTCTCTGAGAGCGAAGCCGCAGAAGGTGGGGGTGTTTGTGGATTATGAGGAGGGTCTGGTCTCCTTCTATGATGTGGAGTCCAGATCTCATATCTGCTCTTTCACTGGTCAGTCTTTCACTGAGAAACTATATCTATATTTTTGTCTGTTTGGTAAAGGTGATAAAGATCAAAACTCTCCCCCAGTAATCATCTCACCTGTTGTTTACACTTAAAAGAGGTTACATTTCTTTAAGAAGCCATTGTGTTGATGCTATTCTTGTGCCTAGAAATTATAAGGTTATGTATCACATGATTATGTACTTTTGTTGTCCATGTTGTCACACCAAGTCAATTTTATTTGTATGTTTTTTTACTATACATTTTTAAAGCAGCTTTACAGAAAGTCATGATGTTAACTTTTATTATATCTTATATTTTTATGCCTTAAAGTTGCATTTAGCAGATTAGAGCTGGGCAGCAATATAGTTTACATGGCCATTATTGTTGTAGTTGCTACAATCAAAGACTGTAAACACTGTAAAGTGTAAAGATTTTATATAGCTACTGTAACGTAACATAATACTTCATTGAGTGGGGCTTTGAATGGCTGGATGCTCTTTTCCATTATTTAATTTTCTTTGGTTTGTAGACAACTGTGAATGTTCTGTTTCTTTTTTCTTTTCTTTTTTTGATAATGTGTTACTTTACATTCGTAAAAAGCAAAACCTGTTTACAGAAGTAAGAGCATTAAAATAAATTATTTATGCAATTATTAGCATAACTGGATCAGTGACATAATTGTATACAGTGTCCTCCAGGAATATTGTCACCTTTGATATATAGGAGAAAACTGAGAAAAAAAAATGGCTTTACCGTTTATCCTCTTGCTGTTTTATTCAAAAAATGATATGTGGTTAAGAAATGTATTGATTCATCAATGTTGTTCTTTTTATTTTCTGAATTTCAAAAATGTAACATTTACTTAGATAACATTTACTGAACACTATCATATCAAACCATGCCATACAGAAAGTGTAAACGTGTAAGGTGACCAGTGGTTAAGTATAGCCACATATCTATGAAATTATGCATAGAGAAACTCAAAAGAATGAGCTCAGAGTCAGAAACAGACACAAACCTGCACCACCACCACATAAGCAGCACTCTGAGCACAGCTTTGTTTTTGAGAGGTGTTCATTTGCTCTGCCACAGTACTTTAGTATGTAAAGTCATGATTTTCACGTTCTGAAGTACTGAAGTGCCAGTAAAACCAAATGCAATCGTGCGCGTGCATATGCTTTCCCAAACAGCTGTAATGTTGCTGCATACATGTATGTATACTAGGGATGGGCGATACCACTTATTTTGTTTTCGATACGATACCGATATTTTTCAAGGCAGTATCGTCTACGTTCTGCGCAAGCGCAGTGTGAAACACCGGACGCTATAACAGGAAGAAGCTCCAGCGTATCAACTACCAAAGTCGTCTGTTTATCGAGCTTGGCATGGATACATTTGAGAGTAACTGGGGTAAAACCGTAAGCTTCTGCACTGTTTTTGTTGTGGCGCTCGCCGCTGTTTTTTACTACCTTGAGAATTCAGAGATTGACGAGATCCCAAGGTGAAGTACGGACCACTATACTGTCACTTCTATTACTTGCTTTGTCCTGCTTGTGCTGATAGTATTTTTTTTTCTGCAGTGCATGATCTTTTTGATTCTTGCTCATAGTATGAACGACCACACCTCATGAGAATGGCAATTTCCCCTCTTGATTGTATTTGTATTATACTTGGTGTTTAAAGATAGTTTTCTGGTGCGGCTTTACATTAGTATGTCAGGTAGATATTGGCATTCACAATTATAGACCTATATTTAGTGTACAAATATTACCAGTAAGACAATCGTGCTGAGATTTGACTGCGGTTCAGTGAGCTTTGAGCCGCCGAGCGCAGCTTTGTGGAACCACTCTTGACTTGAAGCAGTTATTACTAATAATACACCTGTTTATTATAGTACACCTGTGCAAATTCTGCACTGTCATGGTGATGTTGCGAGATTCAAACAGCTGCGCACGCAATCATTTTTTCGTTACAGAATGGATCTGAACGCAATGGAAGAGAATTTCCGGAGGAAGAACAGAACGTGCTTCATTCTCGGCGCTTCAGGTGAGACTGGAACGGCGCTGCTGAAGGAAATAGTGGAGAGCAACATCTTCTCCAGCATCACTCTCATTGGACGAAGACAGTTAACCTTTGAGGATAAAGCCTATACAAATCTGGTAATGTGCGTTTATGTACAGGTGCATCTCAATAAATTAGAATGTCGTGGAAAAGATCATTTATTTCAGTAATTCAACTCAAATTGTGAAACTCGTGTATTAAATAAATTCAATGCACACAGACTGAAGTAGTTTAAGTCTTTGGTTCTATTAATTGTGATGATTTTGGCTCACATTTAACAAAAACCCACCAATTCACTCTCTCAACAAATTAGAATACTTCATAAGACCAATAAAAAAATTTTTTTTAGTGAATTGTTGGCCTTCTGGAAAGTATGTTCATTTACTGTACATGTACTCAATACTTGGTAGGGGCTCCTTTTGCTTTAATTACTGCCTCAATTCGGCGTGGCATGGAGGTGATCAGTTTGCTGCTCAAGAAACATTTCTTGTTATGATCAACTGTGCGCTGCTAAATTGTTTTATTTTAGGATTCTGTGATGAAAAGAACGTTCACAAGAACAGGATTTATTTGAAATCTAAATCTTTAGTAACATTGTAAATGTCTTTACTGTCACTTTTGATGAATTTAATGCGTTCTTTGTGGGGGAAAAAAACTCTTACTAACTTAAGAACTTTTGAATTGTAGGGTATGGCAACATATGTGTAAATGGGAATCTTTCATACGTGTTTGAAACACATTTGTGCTACTGGCTTACATTTTGTCAGATGTTGAAGAGTTGATCGAAGCCGCAGATGTGACGTTGAGCCCCGCGGCTGGTGATCAGGTGCCTCTTCTGCTTCAGAGAGCCAGACAGGCTGAAGATAGAGCTCAGAGAGCTGAGGAAGCCCTGGCCCGGGCCATGGACGATCTGCACAAACTCAAGTCAGTATAACATCAGCCTCACTCTCCATATGCACTGCATCACTTCAGTGTTATTCAACAAATAATATTTATGCAACTGTAGTCTGTTTTGTTCAATTTGCTCATCTTTAGTTTGATTGCTTATGCTCTAGTTATTTATACTTTATGAAACACGGTGTTGCTTATGCCATCTTAAACATGCCCTACCTGTTAGTATTAAATTCAAAAACACGTCATCCAGTGGACTTTTGACAGTTCCAGGGCATTTGTGAAAACTTCAAATTGTACTTCTGCATCTTTGTATTCCTGCTCACAGATAGTGAACCCAGTGCATTATGGGTGTTTAATTTTTCCTTTATTTTTGCCACAGCACTTTTTTCTGTTTTCTTTAGTCATAGGTTTAGTCCGCATAGGTTTGTTTAGTCAGCATAGGTTTAAAAAATATATATATTTTCATGCATAGACAGACAGTTTTTATTAAAACCCCATCTTGCCAACAGTGGATTACCCCTTTAAAGGAATTTGAATTTGAAAAAAAAGAAAGGAAGGATGGGTTAAAGGGATAGTTCATCCAAAAATTAAAATTATGTCATAAGTATGGCAGAACAAGATAATGGGTTTCAGTGTTGTTTTGACCAAAATATTCTTCAAAATATTTTCTTTTGTGTTCTGCAGATGAAAGAAAATTTTTTTAGGTGAACCATCCAATTAAATGCAAGCTCTGTGGACTGGAAATGTGACATACCGCATAACCAATATAATTTCACATGTCAGTTTTTAAATTATGCAATACACTTGTCCCACAGACTTGTGATAAGAGAGCATTACTGCAGACACATTCTCCTTTGTTTTTCCAAACTGAAGAACAATTATTTATAATGAATTATTTAACTACATTATTATCTGTTGTTACAGTATGTGACAAATTCTGTCCATAGAGCTGAAGTTGTATGTGAAAGGTCTCACAAAGATGCTTGAAAATCAATTCAAAATTTAAAGGTTGATGAAAAGAACAAAATCCAGAACCCAAGATCAGTAGCAGTTAATTTAACGTAGTAAATTCATTGAAACACTTTTTTTCCCCTCTCTTTAGTTTACATCTTCCTTTATGGTAGAACCCAAACCAAATGATCTGTTTAAACTGACCTGACCAAGCAATTGTGATAATGACACTGTCCACAAGCATTTTTTTAAGTAAAAAAAAAAAAGAAAAATGAAAAATTACCTTAGGTCGCGACTAATTTGAAAGAATGGCCCACTCTCAGTGTAAGCTCTGCAACTCCAATAGATGTGTAATGTATAAGTTGGTCCAGCAGGGTGCAGCATAGAGTTCGGTTTAAAAGACTATCACTGAAGTGGATAGAGGTGCAAAAAAAGAGGCGGGGCAATAGAAGTTAGTGATGGGGTAAAATTCCACTGCAGTGGTTAAGATTTTGAGCCAGCACTCACATGCACGTGCACGTGTGCTGGTGGACTGACCAAGCCTTCCTCTGTTTTAATATATATGTATATACTGTATATATATATATATATATGTGTGTGTTTGCATTGCCCCAGATTGTTGGCACAAGGTTTAGTGCTGAACGCAGATACAAGTCGTGGCCCTTCACGCTCAGGGGCCATTGCTGAGTTGAGAGAAGAAGAAGACGAGGCCTACTTCAGCTCTTATGGGCATTACAGCATCCATGAGGAGATGCTGAAGGTACGTCTGTCCCCATCTAACATATATCTGCGGCCTTATTTGTTTGGGAAGGAGGTCACAGGCAACTCACACTTTGTGCAAACTCCTTAAAAAAAGATGCAATGGTTGGCTCTATGCAGCATAGTTTCATTATTCGCCATTATTAATTTTTCCCACATTGCAGTTTTCCAGATTTATTATTAGGATGTCATTGTTTGAGTGCTGTAACTGCAGTAAGGGAGGTTCAAGTGAGGAGCGTTTGGATCATCAGCTCTCATACTGCAGTACGTCCTGGAGAGGGCCAGTGATTGGTGCCTCCTCCAACTTGCATTAAACGGCGGTTTGCGTCAGAGTCGAAACTCTGCAGAGGAGAGGCGAGCTGTATGGTGCAACGCAAGCGCTGACGCCTTTTACTGTCCACCGAAAAATGATGCCATTTACCGTCACGAGTCAGATGTGATCTATAACCCTTTAAATAATGCAAAACTTTCCATGTAAGGAAAGTTAAGAACTTTTCCGTCATCTGTTTTTTTGTCTGCATCAGAAGGTGCACTCAAATAAGTTTGATTTGAAAAAAATTCAAGTTTTCCCTTCAGAACATCAAATCATACAGGAATGCTGATGGAATTTCTGCCATAATTTGAAAGCATTTTTTAATGGATAAAAGTGGATAAAAATCAAATCAGATCCTACTGGATAAACAGAAATTCTGAAAAATCATTCTAATATGCTGATATAGTGCTCAGTTATTATAATATCATATTAGTTATTATGAACTTTTCCGTCATCTGTTTTTTTGTCTGCATCAGAAGGTGCACTCAAATAAGTTTGATTTGAAAAAAATTCAAGTTTTCCCTTCAGAACATCAAATCATACAGGAATGCTGATGGAATTTCTGCCATAATTTGAAAGCATTTTTTAATGGATAAAAATCAAATCAGATCCTACTGGATAAACAGAAATTCTGAAAAATCATTCTAATATGCTGATATAGTGCTCAGTTATTATAATATCATATTAGTTATTATGGATACTAAATTATTAATCATGGTTCTTATCATTGTTGAAAACTGTTTTTGCTGCTTAATATATTTTGTGGAAACAGTTATAAAAAAAAATGTCAGGATACTTTGATGAACAGAAAGTTAAAAGAACAGCATTTATTTGAAATATAAATCTTTTGTAACATAAATGTCTTTACTGTTACTTTTTATCAGTTTAATTTGTTTATTCTTGCTGAGTAAAATTCTTTCTCTCTCGCGCTCTCTTTCTTTCGCTCTCCCTCTCTTTCTTTTTTCTTTCTTTCTTTCTTTCTTTATGCTGAATACTGAAGAAATGGCTGCTGAAAATTCAGATTTGCCATTACAGGAATAAATTACATTTTAAAATATATTAAAATAGAAAAAACTATATTTTAAATGTTATAATATTTCACAATATTATGTTTTTATTGTATTTTTGATCAAATAAATACAGACTTTTTTCAGAAACATGAAAACATTTTTAATTATTTCAGACTTTAGACCAGTAGTTTAGAAAAATGTTCAGAAATAAATCTTCAAAATGTTTAAGCTAAATGTTTAACCATACAAAAAAGAGGCTCTGATTTTTATTTTTTTTTATATATATAATTATTATTTTTACTTGTTCTGGTTTAAACCGATATAAATGTAATGGCTCTTGTCCGGATTGTAATAGCTTCCAGCATCATGTATGTTCTGGGCGGTACTTATTCTGATTGGCAGGTTAATTAGCCATTTCTGGCTGAAATTCTGCTGGCAAAGCAAGAAGTGTCAGGGCCAGTTTCATTTGATTTTTCATCTCCACTCCCAACAACAGCAACCTCCTCCCCTCAAAAAAAAAAAAAGAAAAGAAAAGAAAGAAAGAAAAAAATCATTACTAGTCACACATCCTTTGAATTGCTTTGTAATTCAATCTTGGCTCTGTTAAAAATTAGATTTTTATGTCATGCTGCTTAACGATTGTTAATTTGATTTCCAGCGTGCTCCTTGACTGTCAGCTTTAACTGTGGATAAGGCGTTAAAATTAAATTTTTGCTTTGAATGATTGGATCATGTTCAGCGATTTCTCTCTCGTTAGGATGGGTGCGCTCTGTCTTCTTAATGGAAAGTAGAATGGTGACACTGTGTCATTGCTTAGGACTTTGGTTGTCTCTTTTTTTCGACAGGACAAGGTGCGCACTGAGAGCTATCGAGACTTCATGTACCACAACATGGACGTCTTCAAGGACAAGGTGAGTATGGGCTTCCTGAAGTGTTGTAGAAAAAGCTATGACAGAGTAATGATTGCGATGACAGGGCTGATTTAAAAAACCCTCACATTATACCAAGCTGCAGTACTTTTTTAAAGGGGGGCTTTATGTGTCAACTGCAGTGGGCTGATAACAGGATAATGGTGCTTCAGCGCACACACATAACATACACCACAGCTCATATACAAACCATTAATTTTGCGCTGACATTGGCTAGATCAGCTTTAGCCGGCCGCGGTTGAGCATGGATACCGAGGTGACGCGCTGAGCTGGAAAGAAAAAGGTGAAGTGGGGGTAGACGACGAGAGGCTTATCTCGGCCATCGTGGTCCAGCCAGTGGACTTTAGCAAATAAGGGTTAGACCCTGTCAGCATGATAAATGCCTCAGGTGCCATTATTACACATCTGCACGCTTAAGATGGCACAGACAAGCTGGCATAGCGCAGAAAGGTTACGCGCTGCTCCTTTAACCCGCAGGTGGTGCTTGACGTGGGATGTGGTACGGGAATCCTCTCCATGTTCGCCGCCAAAGCGGGAGCCAGGAAGGTCATTGCTGTCGACCAATCTGAGATCATCTACCAGGCCATGGACATTGTCAGGTGAGTCAGCATTGCACTGAAGAAATGAACAGGTTCTTGAGTATATTAGAAAGGCCCTCTTGGCCAGGCCTGTCGCAATAATCAATATATCGACTTATCGCACAATATATGTACATGACTTCAATAATTTTTAGTTAATGTTATTAATGTTAATGTTTTTTACATTCCACTTGCGCCTGTGTCTTTTGCAGGTTCTCGTACATAACGTGGTGTAGTCATGAGGTGCTAGTTAAAATTTAAAAAATGCTTCAACAAAGATATGCCTCTGTGCCTTTGTGCATACAGACATTTGACTGCTAAGTAGTGATTGTTTTTCAGCAATAGTGTGCACCTTTAATTTACAGAGAAAAGAAGGTCAGGGAAAAATCTGTAGATGGAAAAATCTCCATACAAGTTCTTTGTGCATTTTCCTCTTTTTTTGTACTTGTTACTTTGCACTTTTTGTTAGAAAATGTTTATTTACTATTTATTCAAGTTTTTAAGGTATCAAATATTTTGATACTTAATTTCCACGATCTAAATATTATTGCTCCCTTTTGGAAAATAAAATCATCTTGCCATCTTGTGTTCCTCTTTGGTGTTTCCTGAACATCTCCTCTGTCAATGTTAAGTCCTTTTATGGCTTCCGAAGTGTTCTCTGCTTTATTTTTTTCCAAACTTCATCCACTTTGAGACACTTCTTCCCATCTTCTTATCAAACTATCCAGCTTCCTCTCTGTAAGTTTCGCCAGTGTTTGCTGGGATCAACAATAAGATTTTTTTTGGCCCGACTACAATACATTATTTTTAGCGTCATATTTTTATATTTGCGTGAAATATTTTATTTTACATTTTTTGCTTTTATTGTTTTCATTAAATGTTAGTTTTCTTCACAATTTTATAATACATTTTATATTTATTAATTATTTATCTAATTTTGTTTTTTTCCCCCAAAACATTTTGCAACATAACGTAAGCCAATAAATTCATAGAAAATTGCTGGAAACTGTGGCATATGATGCAGTTACTGATTTTTGTTGAAACCGATGGTTTGTAGTTTTCAGCACATTCTTAATGATGCTTTCATGACTGTCTCTAGTCAATTTTACAATTTCAACATGTTTTATCTATGTTAGCCAACTAGATAACATTATATTGGTGATACATCAGGGGAATTTGCAGCAGCAATGTGGAATACATCACAGGAAACAAAACACAAAAAAGTCATAAAAATGGAAGAACATGTTTTTGCCAATGCAGCATTCGACAACTAGGATTTTTTTTCTGCATGGTTTGTAGTCTTCAAAACATTCTTAATTATGCTTACAAGTCTATCAGAAGAAAATTTTACAGTTTTGGCAAGTTTGGTATATGTTAGCCATCTATACAACATCATGTTGTTGACACATCAGCAGAATTTGCAAAAAACAATATGGAATGCATCATAGAAAACCAAATGGATGTACAAGATCAATTTATGTAAAATTTTCAGTGACAATGCGGAATTGGCCTGAGAAGTGGCAGTTTTGTCAACTGGCCTGAGAAACACTCTCACACCAAACCCAGGCCAGCGAGCTCTATTATTACCCTGCAGTCTCATCCACAAACTAGTCCTCTTTTTATTTGTCTCAGTGGTTTACTTCAATGTATTTACAGGCTGCAGTCACGTTCCTAAAGGCCTGTCATTTACCTCCACCCAGTCGACTTCCAATCTCCCCTACTTCCATCCCGACACTGTGTGTCTCACACGCACGCTAAACATACAAATGGACTCCAGCCTGCACTATCTGCTTCCTTTACGACCTATCTGCCCATTAAAATTACCTCATGTATCACCTCTGAGGGCACTTCCATTTCATTCAGAAGCAGGAATATAGTTTTATTAGTTGGAGTTGAGATGTGTTCACCACATGTGGTGTCTCTGGGAGATTTTTTTGATTATGGTTATTGTTATTATGTAAGTCTGAGGAGTCGAAGCAGGCAGGAGGATGAAAGGAAAATGAAGTTTAATTTTACAGATCGCTGGGCCGCTGTTGGGCCGAGGCCTCCTACGTGCCACCTGCCTGAGTGTGTATGGGTTTTACAGAGGTGGTTTTCTGACGTGCATGATGCTTTATTCGGTTTTATAGAGGCGAGAATGAAGTATCTCAATTAAAATTTTAATTGAATAATAAATATATACATAGAAAAGCAATATTAAAGGAATAAAATAAACACTTTGATAGCAATGCATGTACAATGGATAGCTCTCCACAGACTGGAAAAGTGTTATTTACTTTTACATTGAATGATTAAGCAGTTTACAGTGACTAAAAATGAGAACAATCACAAGCAATTTATCGTGATAGAGACAACTCGATAGATTTTAGAGAGTAAACAGTGTCGTGCACTGTAAAAAATGATTTTTCAAAGAATTAAAACAAAGATGATTGGAGTACGTTTTACAATAAAACACTATTTCAGTTTTTTCTACTTCAAAATTTCATGTTTAATTCCATGTGTTGCCTGCTGTTTTTTTGTAATTGTTTGTGAAATTTACTAGCAAATTCAAAGGTTTCAATACCAGTTTTTTTTTTTCACAGACGTCTAATTGCATAAAAGTGTTTACTTAATTATTTATGGAAGCACCTTTTTAAAAAATGTATGCAAGTTGTAAATAAAACTTGCATAAACTTGTTTTTTTTTACTACTTTCAGTCTGTCTAAAAAAATTTCATGTTTAATCAGTATGTTTCTCATTTCATAATTTCTTTGTGAAATAGAGTAACAATTTCTGAGTGGAAATTGTTTCAAATCCTGCACCAAATTTTATTTGTTTATTTACTTACTTATTTCTCTGTGTATAAACTGATGGCTGAATCAATAACTTGTACATTCTGGAATATTTAATATGGACTATTTCTGTAATGCAGGTGCATTGCAAAATTTCATCTTGGACTTATTGATAAATTCTTTTAGGACAAATTATATATACAAAATGTTTAAGATCTACAGTCTTCCTGAAGAACTTCAGGATATTTGATGGGCAAAAACAATCAAGTTCCTTGATAAATGTATGTTATAATATGTTTGTCTGTGATCTAGACGTCATTCTAAATCAAGAATTTTCTTGTTTTTCACAAACCTAGTTGTGTTGCACTTGTGTTGTGTGAAATGTTGCCCTGGCTTTTTGTTCCATAAGTGTCTTTATTAATGTGTTAGGAGCAAATCCAGATAATCCCCATATGGTCTCTACAATTTAGGTACTTATTCCCTAGATTACACCATTTAACACCAGTCATGGTGGTGAGTTGGTGGATAATCCAGTCTGTCATCACCACTTTACAACTTAAATCCAATCTTTAGTCCCAGAGGATCAATATACTTGGATCATATTCCCTAAACCAAGTACCATCCAGTGGAGGGAAGTATTAAAGTGTCCCAAATCCCCCACCCCCTCCTCCTCTTTCTCCCCCTGTAGCTGACATTGTCCTCTAAATTAACCCAGTAATGAGATTAGTGTTTCCTAGCTCAAGACAGTCCGCTGAAGGAGGGGCAGATAGAGGGAGCGCTACAATGGGATTCTGGAAGAGTGTGATAGCGCGAAGGTGCAGAGATAAGGATCGGTTGGGCAGAAATGCGCTCTGCAGGCTTGAGTAATGACTCTGTCCCTAGTAACATTAGCTGTCATGATAATGGAGTATTTAGAGAGATTGATGCTCAGGGTTACCGGTCAAAATGGGAGCGATCATTTAAATAAGGTGGGGTGGAGGGAGGGGGGGGGGTGTTTACGCACGTTTACACACATACACACAAACACTCAGGTGAATGGTAGTTTGCTGACTCTTAGTGCAAAAGGTCATGGGAGGAGGTGCTGTCAAATTGGGACCGTTAGTGTTGTTGTCCTGGTAAGTCCGCTGTGGTGTGTGTAATTTGGATTAATTAGCAGCTGTCTTTGAGGAGATTGAATCCTGGTCAAATTAGTGTAATTAAAGGGGTCATATGATGTTGCTAAAAAAGAACATTATTTTGTGTATTTGGTGTAATGAAATGTTTATGCGGTTTAAGGTTAAAAAACTACATTATTTTCCACATACTGTACATTATTGTTTCTCCTCTATGCCCCGCCTTTCTGAAACGCGTAGATTTTTACAAAGCTCATCGGTCTGAAAAGCGAGGTGTGCTCTGATTGGCCAGCTATCCAGTGCGTTGTGATTGGCCGAATACCTCAAGTGTGTGATGGAAATGTTGCGCCCCTTACCATACTGTAATGTCGTGCGACGAGACAAAACCAATAAAACCCATTATAAACATAATATAAACAAAGTACATAATTACAGATTATAATGACTTATACTGTCTATTTACGCGTTGTGTTGCATCACGCCGCGTAAACATAAAACCATGTCTGCATTTGTGATCGGAGAAATGACAAACAACAAGCGCTACTCTACACTGCCCAAAAAACTCGCGTTTGAATCATCAGTGGCAAATTCTTTAAATATGAAAACTTACGAACAGACTGTGAGTCAGAACAGCCGGCATTGTAGTCTACTCTACCAGGATCAGGAAACAGTCCTCCATAAAATGTTCTGCACACATCTGAATATTTGGGTTGAACTGTTCTGGCAGAGTGTTGTAAATACAACTTAACCATTGATTTCTAGTCGTGTCCTCTTTTGGAAGACCAAACAAAGTAGTTTCGCTTTCACAACGAAACACAGCGCCACACACGGTGGGCTTGAGTAAGCGGAGGCCGGCGGGCTTGAGAACGGCGTGGCCGGCGGATTCGAAGAAGGAGCGTCCGGCGGGCTTGCGGCAACCACATGTGACGACCCTGGGCTGGACTCCGCTTCGTCCACGGTGAAAGCCGATCCGGTATTTTCTCAGCGACCAGCACGGATCAGCTCTAGGCATGACGAAGCAGATATCGTCCTCTTTTGGAAGGCCAAACAAAGTAGTTTCACTTTCACAACGAAAACACACAGTGCCTTCACGACATGGCGGCGGCGGCGGCAACAACAATACTACAGCGAGAATAAAAGTTACGGCTTCTTTCTTTGCGTGAACATTTGGGCGGCGTTATGCAAATCTTCCCACATAGTGAGGTAGATATGTGGGGGCGTGTTAGAACGAGCCGTTTTAGGTAGGTGTGGCTGAGTCTTAACTTTTATAAAGAATATCTCTTTGGATTTGAGACTTTAGTCTTTGCAACTTTACAGATCTTCTTTATGCACCAAGAGCTTGTAACACTCCAAAGAGAAAGGAAAACTTGAAATCGCATCATATGACCCCTTTAACATTCATTGTCTCAGACGAGGTATTTAAAACTAGTAACATGCATTTTATGTAATATTTATAATATTTAATATTTTAATGATTTTATTCGTTTGAACACTTGCAAAAGAAAAATGCATATTTTGAATAATGAATTTTGTATTAATTTAATTTAATTTAGTTAATATAATCAACAACATCTACTATTGCTATTTAAATGTTAGATAAAACATTTATTTAAATTTTTTCTTTCTCTAGATCAAATAAACTTGAAGACACCATCACACTGATCAAGGGCAGAATAGAAGAAATTGACCTTCCTGTGGAAAAAGTGGACATCATCATTTCAGAGTGGATGGTGAGTGGATGCTTTTTGTGCATTTTTCAGTTTGTAAATATTAATATGCTTTCCAGAGAGAAGAAAAATGTATTATGCATACACTTTTTTTCTTTTGCAATGGGATGCACTGCTCATTGAAGCAAAATGGCTAGCTTTGCCTTTAAAAGTATGCATTTGCAACAATTATAGTTGGGTTTGACCCAAAATTAGACATAAAGGAATTGGATGTGTCAGTGTCTTTTTTTCTGGCCAGTCATTTATTTCCCTTTTTCCAAAACCTGTCCAGGTGTTGGAAAATGAAAAAGATGAGATGATGTATTGTTGATTGATATATGATATATTGCAGGCATAATCCATAATGGCATAACTTTCATGCTCCTTTTAGAAGCCAGGCATCACTCCTCATTTATTTAGACATGACTGACGATGAGTATGAGAAGCAAGACTTTAAAAGACACACGTTAAAGGAGTAGTTCACCCAAAATTTTACATTTGCTGAAAATTGACTCACCTTCAGGCCATCCTAAATGTAGATGAGTTTGTTTCTTCATTATAACAGATTTGGAGAAATTTAGCATTACGTGACTTGCTCACCAATGGACCCTCTGCAGTGAATGGGTGCCATCAGAATGAGAGTCCAAACAGCTGATAAAAACATCACAATAATCCACAAGTATTGGCATGAAGTGAAAAGCTGTGTGTTTGTTATAAACATCCATAATTAAGATGTTTTTTTTTTTTACTTCAAACCGGTGCTTTCGGGTAAAATACGAGTCCTCTTTCTATAGTATTGCTTTCTCCAGTGAAAAAGCCATCTCATCTGAATCAGGAGAGAAATATGCACAGATCAAGCCTTGTTTACAAGAAAAACATTCGAAAACAGGCATTTCTCCACTTATGTGAACAACCTAAAAAGTGCTTTTGAAAATAAAAGTGCTAAATAAATAAATGCTATCAATGTGAAACATATTTAATTGTAAAACAGATAGTTCTGGGTCTTAAAGGGATAGTTCATCCAGACATGAAAAATCTGTCATCATTTACTCACCCGCATGTTGTTTCAAACCTGTATGACTTTCTTTCTTTTGCGGAATATAAAAAAATATTTTGAAGAATTTTGGTAACCAAACTGTTTTGGTTACCATTGACTTGCATTGTATGAAAAAAAAGACTGAAATTTCTCAAATTATCTTCTTTTATGCTCCACTGATGAAAGAAAGTCTTGCAGGTTTGAATCAACCTGAGGGTAAGCAAATGATGACAGTATTTTCATTTTTGGGTGAACTGTCCCTTTAAATCTGATCAAACACTGCTCATCCATTGTCAAATAGCCAGCACATCAGTTAAATTCAACATTATTATTCAAATTCTTACTTGGCTGAAGAATTGTTTATTGTGATTATTCTTAGTGATAAATTTATTAAAAATGGTGTCTTTTATCTTGTTCCTATTGCTGCTGCTTGAAAAATGAGGAGGTTTCGTGCTGTGCTTGAGTCCCTTTATAATAATATTAAAAGGACTGTAATGCATGGCGTCTTGTGGATAATTGCTTTGATTTCTATCCTAGCAAGACAGAGAAATTGGTATTGCAGATTTGAAAGTGAGGAAGGCGATAAAAGCTTGTATTGTGCTGCACTCCTTGTTGAAGTTCCCTTAATTTGTAGTCCAGTAGGAAAGGGGGAAAGTAGGTCATAACTCAAGCCACCTAGCCACAGGCTGAAAGAAAGGGCATTGGAGAATTATTCTCTAAATTTGGAAACTTCCAGGACTTCCCATGCGAATTCGACCTGCATGCAAATTTCTGCTGTCTATGAGATTTTTTATCGCTTGCAGGTTAATTGTGAAATTATAAATGTTTTTTTTATTTTGTCCCCTTTTATTTGCATGTTGGGGCTGTAATTCAACAAACTCAGTGCCTGAGGCTGTGGTGAGCGTGTGTATGAGTTTCCAGTATGTACCTGTGTTTGTATGTGTGTGCTTCTGTGTGTGTGCAAAGCTTCTGACAAAGTAACCTGAGATTTGAATCACTGGAGCACATTATTTTATGATTACAAGTTAGTTACAACTCTGGCATTCTAAATGGTGTAAAAATCCTACCCTTCATCATCTGTGCAATGTCGTCCATTTCATTCTGAAAACGTCTGAAGTGTTTGTGCATTGCCACCATTTCCTTGTGAAAGCAGGGGAGCGTACAGCCGTCTTCTGAAAATCATTTTTCAAAATGTTATGGAACAATAGGTTTACAATTACCTTATTGCACAGAGGAGACACATGTCCACAGAAAAAAGCAGTCACCCTGGTCCACCACCTCCGATATCTAACTTTGACGCGCTTGTCAATCCAAAGAGATTAGATGCTGAATCGGGTCAAATGGTCGTGAGCAAAGTATTGCTGTACATTGATCTATAAAAGCTTCCATAATAGACCATAAAAGTAAGGTACAACATAAGCAATTACAATTTTGGTGTAGGATTTGCTTTGCAACAGTTTTCACTCAGAAATTGTAAATGAGTAAATTTCACAAATAATTACAAAGAAATGGTAAGGAACACTAAATTAAACATCACTTTTTGAAGTAGAAAGACTGACCCCCCCCCCCCCCCCCCCCCCCCCCCTCCTTCCCCACCTTTTTACAAATAATTATTGGCCTTCTGGAAAGTATGTTCATTTACTGTACATGTACTCAATACTTGGTAGGGGCTCCTTTTGCTTTAATTACTGCCTCAATTCGGCGTGGCATGGAGGTGATCAGTTTGTGGCACTGCTGAGGTGGTATGGAAGCCGACTGTTTAAAAGTGCACTATGGAAGATTTTTGGAGTAAAAATTCAAAACTATTTTTACCATGCCTTATTGACCATTTTAAACCTACAATATATTTTTTCATAATCCTTTATTTTTTAGTCATTTTTGCAATGTTTTTTTTTTGTTTTTGTAACGATTTATATATTTTACGTGAACTTTTTTAGCATTTTGTGTAGAATTCATCACTTGGCTTCTAAGGAAAGTTTTCACTTTTGTCTATTTTTTTAATGTGTTATTTTAAGTCTTATTTTAGTGTAATTGAGATACTCTTAAAGTTTTTATGAATATTTTGAATTTGTTTTTAATTTTAGATTTTCTGTTTTTAATGTAATTTTTGTTAAAGTTTTAGTAATTTTGTTCTGTGTTTTGTCTTTTATATATATATATTTTTTTATAAATGTCTGTATTTTTATTATTACATCATGCTTAACTAAATAATGAGAAATATTGCTTCGGCAATTTACTGAAAACAATCAAAAAAATTATATTTAATTTTATATCAGTTTGTTTTATTTAATGTAAAGAAAACGTTTTTTTTATTTTATTTTTTTATTTTTTGTCTTAGTTAACTATAATAAACCAGCAAAGAGGAATAGATTGCTTCAGATGTCTACCGAATGTGAGTTTAAGGTAGCTGATTTTAAACATTCAGCAAATCAGCAAGATTTTCTTTAAACTGTTGCTTTACCAAAACCAGAAAGAGAAAGCGGACCATAAATATTGTGATCATAAAGATACTGACGCCTTCAATAGTGCCCTCTGTGGCAACACTGAGAATGTAACACTGTGTGCTTGCAATATTGAATGTGACAAGTCATGCACAATCAAGTTTTCATTGATAATCTTTTGCCTTCACATGCTTGCCTTTTTCTGCATTAAAAAGAATGTCAGTCACCATGAAAAAAAACCACCTTTTGTCACTTTTCAGTTAAATGTCACAGTTAATGAGCAGAATAGTGTAGGAATTGACTCTTGGAAACTGACATTTGTGCACCTGTAGTCCAAAATGTCTCATCCTCTTTATTTTCTGTCTTCTTGAGTGTCAGAGAAAGTTTCTCCCAGGTGGTTGACTGTCCTACTTTTCGGCTGTCTTGAGTTTGGATGTGTACGTGTAAGCACGAGAACGAGAGAGAGAGAGAACGAATCGATAAATCAGAGGGGGTAATTTTCAGAAGGACGAGATGTTGTCTGGCAGGGAGAGACGGGTCTGAGCCGCCGTAATGTCATTTCATAACTCACACAATTGATCTGTACTTTAACACCCAGCAAAACAAACAGACTGGATTAGATTAAGGGGCAAAAAGAAAGAGAGGGATGGTTTCTGCCACTGGCTAGGTGGAGGAGAGGAGAAGTGAATTAGAAGAAGGCTAAATAAAGGTTGTCACAGGATGATCCATCACATCATGCTATGGCTTTTCAGTCCTCGGTTACACCTAAGAAGCGTAAGGATGCTGGATTGGGAAGTTGAAGGAAGCTTTAACAGGTTTTACAGTTCTTGAAATAATCGTACAAAACGGTTGAAAAGATCTGCTTGACGATTGTTGTCTGGGGTTAACAGGCACCCTTATTAAAGCGATAGTTCACCCAAAAATTTAAATTCTGTCACTAGTATTTGTCCTTCCAAACTCGTATAACTTTTTTCTTCTGTAGAACACTAAAGGAGATGTTTAGAAGAATGTCTGAGCTGCTTTTTTCAAACAATGAACGTTGATGGGGATCAGGACTGTCCGACTCCAAAAAGAACAAGTTCAACATTAAAAACATCATAAAAATAATCCATATGACTTCTGCACTATAGCAGTGTTGTTATCGTTTAAGTGAAGTGAGTGAAGTGACATGTGGCCAAGTATGGTGACCCATACTTGGAATTAGGGCTCTGCATTTAACCCATCCAAAGTGCACACACACATCGTGAACACACACCCGGAGCAGTGGGCAGCCATTTTTTTTGCTGCGGCGCCCAGGGAGCATTTGGGGGTTCGGTGCCTTGCTCAAGGGCACCTCAGTCGTGGTATTGAAGGTGGGAGAGAGCGCTGTACATTCACTCCCCCCACCTACAATTCCTGCCGGTACGAGACTCGAACCTACAACCTTTGGGTTATGAGCCCGACTCTCTAACCATTAGGCCACGACTTCCCCTTTAACTTTAATAAACTATTTTGAAAAAAGTTACATTAATTGAAATAAATGTTAAAAGAAATAAAATACAATTTAT